TGCCAATATTTTATTATATTTAATATTGTTGATTGTTTACAAACAATTTTTGGTGTTGTAGATGTCACCGAAGAAATGGTCCAAAAACACATTTGGTTGGGCCAGAGCTGAAGTATTAGGAGCTTTAGTGAACGCCGTGTTTTTGGTTGCTTTATGTTTTAGTATTACTGTAGAAGCATGTAAAAGATTTATCGAGGTAGAAGAGATACATGAAGCTAAACTGTTGGTTGGAGTTGGGGGACTTGGTCTGCTGGTGAATGTGATAGGTTTATGTTTATTCCATGGTGAGTATAGCGTGTATCATACAACTCAACTTTTATTTGTTTTCGATAAAATTTAAACTGTTTAAAATATATAAATAAATATGACATTTTTTTTGATATGTAGATATTTATCCTTATTTTAAAGATTCTCTAAAGTTGTCCTGTTATTATATAAAAGTGTAAAATCATAAAAAAACTGCTTATATTAAATATTTGTATATTAATATTTAGAAGAATGTACAGAAGAATACTCATTCAGAAATTTCTATTTTTACTTTCTCTTTCTGTTAGATAATCTTTGTAAAGCATTTTATTTGTATTTCGCAACTTAATTATCATCTTTCGTATTTAACCATGTGATAACTTAATAATGGTTATGGATAACAGTATTGTATATTAAAATTGCTGTTTGCTTATAAGATTCTTTGTTCAATGCTGTGATGTTATCTTATTATATGCTCGAAAGATTTTATTTTGAGAGTTAAGATAAAGAAAAATTGATTATGAAATGTACATGGTTAGTAAATGTATTATCAGTATATTTAAAATACAAAGCTTTTGCAAATATAAGACAGAAATAAAATTTTTGTAAAATTACGGGATCTATATCTCGAGATTGCAAAGAGAGAGAAATGTACGAGCTATAATATAAATGTTAAAAATTCGTCAAGGAAGAAAAGTATCAATATCTGTTATCTTATTGATGTCAAACTGTAACAGAGTATTTAAAAAACATTCGATTTCAAAAAATGAATGTTAATGATATTAAAAAGGAAAATTTATTATTTTACTGCATTTCATGAAACTCTGAATAATCTGTCATATTTAATGTATTTTATAACATATTTGAAAAACAATTAATATTTCTTAGATTAAATTTAATTTAATTAATCGATTTTTTCGTTATATATCTTATAAGATAAAAGTAATCGATTTTATATCAATAGATACTTATAAGTGCAATTATTGCAGAACATGGAAGTGCTCATGGCCACTCGCATGGTATATCTCGAAGTCATAACAGATTAAGCACTTTGGTAGGCACAGACGATAATGAAAATGACGAAGCTTATAGACCTTCGACACCCCAAGTAAAACGAGCGCATGGCCATTCGCATGATGCAAGTCAGATGAATATGCGAGGGGTATTTCTTCATGTACTTTCCGATGCGTTGGGATCTGTCATTGTAATTGTGTCTGCTCTAATTGTATGGTTAACGAATTGGAAGTATAGGTAATTATATACTACATATTCCTATACATTCTATATAGATACTGAAGAATTTTGAATATATAATTAAAAAAATTTTTTACTTAGATTCTACATTGATCCTGCATTGTCGCTTTTATTAGTCATTCTTATCCTGCGTTCAGTGTGGCCGTTACTTCAAGAATCAGCTTTAATTCTATTGCAGACTGTGCCAACACACATTCAGGTAATATTGTTGGCTTGTATAATGCTATAACACTTTTATTTTTAAAGTGCATGGTACATATTTATGATATACATTATTTGAATTGTAAATTTATTTATACAGGTCGATGCTATACAGCAACGTTTGTTGGAGAACATAGATGGCGTATTAGCTGTACATGAGTTCCATGTGTGGCAATTGGCGGGTGATCGTATTATAGCTAGTGCGCATATAAGATGTAGAAATCTTTCAGAATATATGAAAATTGCCGAACAAGTTAAGGAATTTTTCCATAACGAGGGTATACACTCGACGACTATTCAACCAGAATTTATTGACGTAAGTAAATACACATATATAGTAGTACTATAAAAAAAATCTGTTCACGTACGTACGCCAAATAAAACAGAATTAGACAAAAAAATTTGTAAAAAAACTAGGTGAAAATGTTATTCCGAGCAATATATTTTTAATACGTTTTCTATCTATGTTTGTAAGTTATGATTAAAAAGTCTCTCTGTGAGTCACATGTACGTTTAATGCGAAGTTAACGATCTTTTGTTCAAAGTTAATGATGCGTAAGATGAATGTTCACCAAACTATCTGCGACTCACAGATAAATGACGTTTCAATCACGTCTTATGATTGACTCTAATTTGAATTATTTTTGTTGTTAAATATTTTTATTAAAAATATCTTTCTATCATTATAGTATCATTCTAATAGCGAAATTAAAGAGACTCCCACGGAAGATTGCGTGTTGGATTGTCCGAAGACTGATAAGCCATGCAATCACGCGACATGCTGTGGTCCTTCCAAACAAGTAAGTACCGTGTCATAAATTTCGTGTCTTTGCATTCATCATCGGTATATTCTTTGGTTTCTTAGTATAGTATGGAAAGAGATATAAGTGCTCCATCTGTGTACCCCAGTTCAAAGTACCTTGGACAAAGCTTAGATGGAATAAAATCAGAATCAAATACGACTATAGATCGCGATAGTTTGTCTACTACATCTGGGAACCTAAATTTTCTACTTCATCCATTTGAAAGTACAGTTATATTTGTTTGTGAAAGAAAAAAAGCATTTTTTGTATGCTTCAACGAATTTGCTTCAATTGTTTGATAAGTTAACTAGCCGTTTTGCATTCAATTCACATTATTTATCTAAATCTAAATTCAAAACCAGATTATAATAAGATCGATACAATCATCAACGATACGAAATCAAAATTGTAGGTTAACTTCTATCTTTACATTTTGTGTTTGACTAACAAAATAAAAGAGAATTGTTAATATGTATTTATCAAGGTTGGGTAGTGCTAAGTTAAAAAGTTAAAAAGTTAATTAATTTTAACTTAATTTAGTTACATTTTAAACTTTTCACTTTTTAACTTTATTTAGTTACATTTTATCTGTAACTATTAATTTTTTATTTAATTCTTTGAAGTCAAGTTTCAGACCTAATACGCGGCAATAGTGATAACTTAAAATGAGGTGAAAATTGCAAAAGTGAGCAAATTTACTAGGTGTTGACCAATGAAATTATAAATATTCTAGTGAATTTGCTCACTTTTGTAATTTCCACTTCATTTTAAATTACACAATCGACCCCCAGATTTCAATCTGTCAGAAACCGTGTATTTCAATGTATCTAGTTTTTGATAGGTTGAAATCTATTATTTCTTATTACTTCTACCGCTATTCCCTCGTATTGTGTCTGAAGCTTTAGTCATACCACATGCCAGTATTCATAGTTGAATCTTATATACTAAACTTTAGAAAATAAGTATAAACAAAACACGTAAATAAAATATAGAGTATTTTCTAAATGAAGTATATATTTGTCATTTCCGTTACTTAGTTGTAAGACTGGAAATGAACTTAAAAAGTAAAAACAAACATTTAACTTTTAACTTTTTAATTATAATACTTTTTTTTATTAACTTAACTTTTAATTCAATTAATTTAATTATAAATTAACTTGTATCTTAACTAAGTTAAATTTTCAAGATTGTTAACTTTAACTTAACTTAGTTTAAAAAAAAGTTAACTTACCCAACTCTAGTATTTATTAATACATGTTGTGACAAACGTCTCTTGTAAATCGTAAAAATTAATTTCTTTCACATTTTGTTCTTGTTCATTAACCTTACTGATAAGGATTTGTAAAGATTTATATAGACAATAACTTATATAATACAGGGTCGTGAGACTCCTTCACCTGGAGAGACACCGTACATGTGCAGACAGCGTAATAGCTTGGCACGTTCGACAGGCTCTATAGGAGGAACAGAGCAGCAAGAAGTGAATGAAATGGAACGCGGACACTTGTTATCACTGCCCGCTTCGCATCCAACATCATTTCACTCCGTCCAAGTTCCTCACACTCACGTTAATGCACCAACTGTCTGAACTCTCATTGCATTATCAAATATATCTACCTCCATAGTAAAATACGCGAGATGCGTCATGATTTATTGTACAAATATACAATAAATATGTATCTACATAAAATTCATTAATATCACAGTTGATGGCAGTGGTTGAATGACATATTATAGCAATTGCTTATAATTGATAAATTAATATATTCATGAAATCTTACAAATTAAAATTTATTTAAAAATTTTTCCTCCTTTCTGAAATAGTTTGGCGAATATCGAAATCTGTCAGTTTTTCATCTTTGCCATCAATTTACTTAGAGTAAATGATTAAGATACATGATAAAAAATTAAAACCCAAAGGCATATTAATACCAAATATATTACGTTATATGATGTTCTATACGCTCTATATGCTCGGATATAAATAATAAAATTTCGAATTTTTACTATAAATTTCTTAGAAAAAAAATTTCAAAATTAGAAGATTTTGCGACTGATGCATAATTTATCGCATAAAATATGTTATCTAAGTTAAGTATTTTTTAAATCTCATTTGTATATTGATTTGACAGTGCGGTATTATAAAAATCCCACTTTACAAAGCTCTTTATTTATATGTAATTTTTATTGCATTGATTGTAATACGTAATCTATAAGATAGGACGCAAGAGTACCAAATCTCTTCGTTATGTTTATGTATTCTTTCCTCCATATAATTCTTAAATGTTAAGTCTGTATATTTTTTATGTATTTCTTATAGATTTAAGCAATTATAAAAGAAAATTACCAGACGTGTATTAATTGCTTTTCCCTGTATAATACTTATACAATACCTGCGAGAAGTGCTGTGACAATTATTTTGAAAGATATTTTATATTGATATACATTAATAATTTATTACAAATTTTTTTACAAAATTTAATTTGATGTGACGAATATTATATATAGTTTTATTTAATTTTTTTAAGATACTGTGCTGAATTACGTCATTGTTGTTTGATCCAATTATAGAAATAGGACACGTCAGTGTATACACCAGGAACTCCTGTATTTCCGCAACCTATTCCCCATGTCACCAGCCCAGCAACTATATACTGACCGCTACTTGTTGGACATACCAACGGTGAACCACCATCGCCCTTTAAAGAAAATTCATGGTGTTATTAATGGATACGTTAAATTATGGAAAAATAACTTCGTGATCTGATTGCTATGCAATATTTATTACTTTGCAAGAGACAATATGTTATATTTCTTACAGTGCATGCGTCTGCTTCCGTTCCCCCTCCTGCGCACATGAAACTGCTGTGCAGAACAAAGTTGGCTCCTAGTCTGGTCCTTCGAAGGGCCGTTTGGCATCCCGCCTTACTCAATACGGGTAAAGCTACCTCTTTTAGAATATCTTGTATCTGTCCGTTATTAAAGTCATTTTTTCCCCAGCCTGACATCAAACACCTTCAAAATATTGAAAATAAAATATTAGATAATCGCAACGTATTTATTATCAAATTATATATAGAGGGACATTTCGACATTTAACAAAATGATATAATACAAAAATTAATATATTTGCAATATAAAATAGAAATTAGATCATTACGCATTTTGTTGATAGAAGGGAATTCAAACGTAGACAGAATTGAAAGTAATTTTAGACCGAATATATCCATTGTACGTACTTTGTTCCCGATGGAATTGATGTAGATGACAAGCATGCCGTATTAATGTTAGGATTACTTGCAATAGGAGCAGGCGACCTTAGACTAAGTACTGCTATATCGTTCTGGAGATTTTGCGAATTATAATTACTTATCACGGAAATTTTTGAGATGCCGATATCTGTAGTTGGTTCTTCTTCAGATCCAAGACTCCACTCACCTAATCTCGCCTTAATCTCGTTAGCACTGTAACACATTTTTAATATACATACATGAAGAATAAGATATTAAAAATCTATATCGTATTATAGTTTTAGAAATTATCCTCTTTGAAAGTTTATAAAAAGATATTGTAAGGTCTGATTGCACCAACGTTACTTTAGCATTACGTTAGCGAGGCTTAAAATCTCATTTTCTCTCTTTAAAGTCGAAAGAAAGGAAGAAATAGAGTTTCAAGCCTCACTTAAAGTCAAAGTAATGTTAGTGTAATCGGACCTAAGACGCATATTCTTCAAAAATTTAATTTTATAATTTAATATTACATTTTAACTTACCTATACTGTGCCACCTTATGAGCGACGGTAAGAACACGTGTTGGACTGATAAGCACTCCTCCTCCGATATAAAAACCTTGGATGTTGATAATGGCCACCATCCAAGGATATGCACCGTAAGGTGCCAATCCTGGTCCCAGTGATTGCGATTCTATTCTTTGAACACCACAAGGAACGTCGTCATCATCGTCATCATCGTCGATTACACAGCAATATGTAGATCCAGTAGGGCAACCTGTGTTCTATAAAAGTATAAAATTGAAGTAGTTAATATAATACTATATTGATATACTATACAACGATCGTTAAATATATTTATGTAATAATATGTATAAATTTACTTTTTTCATACAAAATTTATATATAAAATAAATAATTCTAATTTGTCTGCAAAAATATATGCAAATATTTCAAATGAGTTCTATCATTATAATATTTTTTTTTCAGTATAAACTGAAATATTACCGGAGTCACTACTCTGATGTCAATGCCACCAGTAGTGCCTTCGGGACAGATAGTTCCAGAAATGCACGCACATTCGTCATCTATAAAAACATAATGAATTTAGGAAACATTGATATAGTAATTTAGGAATTAAATATATTATAAATTAAATTATAAAAATTAAATACATTTTATAACATAATTAAATACATTATAAATTAAGAAGTCTGTTTTTCTATTTACAAATTCTTTGATACCATTTAAATAACTTTAAATCTTTCAGGTATATCATTAATATTTTTCACGCAATTAATAATTTTTTCATTATCTCTATGTTATTTTTTATTATTTATTAAATTTTGTAGCTTATCATTAATATTTCACATTTTTCAAGTTTTATAGCAATAATATCGCTTATCTGTTACAACGATCCAACTAAAAAAATTGTCATTTTTTTAGTTGCTTACAGAAAAAGATTAAAAACATAAAGGAGAAAAACATACTTTTATTCCTTTTAACCAGTTATTTCACCAAAATTGCATTTCAAAGTCATTACAAAATTTTAATGTTTTGAAACATTCAGACTCATTTTCTCGAAAACTTGATCTTATTAGTAGTGTCATTGTTGTGACAAAAGAGCGGTATATATATTCAAGAAAATACATACCCTGTGCAAAAACAAACGTTTGCTGCAATAGCTGGCATGACAGTACGAACAGCAAGACGTTATTCATCTTGAAAATCAGAGATCAAAGAGAGAATAAATTAAAACATAGTATACACTCTTGTCAACGAAACTGATTCACAACAAATAAAATACAGAATTCAACTTACGAGATTTATATATATGTACATATATACACACAAATGCATCAGCGCGTTGCGAGAAAAGCGGTACATTTCCGTTTTTCATAACTTTCAGGGGAACATATTAACTTGTGCATCCAACTGGACGAGATATAATACATGACCTTTCACGGCGCGCTAGAAACGACACTCGGTGGGCTTTCCAGAATTATCGCGTGTAAAATATCTGATACTACGTGAAAAAAATAAACAAGCAAATTGCTTCCGATCATAATTACGTGTAATAATCCATGGCACGTGCGTACTAGTAATAGTACTCAGCGGTCTTCCCAGAGGATTGAAACATTTATTTGACGCGGAGAGAAGGTCATCCCAATTTAATTGACAATTAAACAATGAAGGTCAATAAATAGGAGTTACTGGTATGAGCAGAATCACGCATCGCTGATCTCATTCAATATTATGTATTGAAATACATTGTTGTAAAAAAATATTGTACCACAAATGGTGATATAACAATTTGTCCTATCTGATATTTACGATAAAAGGATTGTTACATGAGCGATGGATGTTATAACACAGAATCATTATAAGTGAGTCACAAAAAACTGATATATAGTCTGTTTTAGCATCAAAATTTATTAAACTGAATTTATTAAATCGTTTAGTCTTTAAAAAAATTCAGCTTGATAAAAATAAAAAAAAAAGAATACATTAAAGTCATTTATCAATCATGTGATAAAATTATTCAAATTGTGTAAAATTGTAATAGGAGAAAAATTGTAATTGGGAGAATTCGTTGAAATACTCGAGGAATCCTTTTCGCTTTATGCTTACGTGTTAGAGGTAATCAGAACACTAATAAATTAATCAAAGCGAATTAATAACTATTGAAGGAAAAAAAGACTTTTCTTTGTAATCTTATATAATTTATATAATTATATAATTTATTTTTATAAATTAATGAAATAAAATATACTGAACAATCATAAATACCATCACTTAAATACATCCCAGAACAATATATAATAGAGAAAAATACAAAAATAATATAAATCTCTTTCTTGATAATCTTCCAATTAATAGTAAATTGGAATGCTTAGATTATGCTGCTTTCGTATTTAAAAATTTAATTTATGCATTTCTCGTAGCGAGCTTATATCAGTGAGTTAGCGCGACCACATGTAAAAATACGTATTTTGCATATACGGTAAATTCTTTTTAACAGCACTTGTCAAATACTTGGCAAGAGGCACGGAGCTAGATATCGTATCAAGCAGTGTATCTATTTTATTACAGCTGTACTTATCATAAAACGGCGATCTCAAAATGTACAACAGTAAACTCAATCTTCGACGCACGAGCTCTTCTTCCTCCTCTTTACTTAATAATGCTTTTTGGGTGCAACGATTGAAGACATTTAAACTGCATAAACAATAACAATTTGATTACATAAAATATCACAATTTATCAATTACGTATAATAGTTCAATATGCTGCGTACCTGGCTATATCGATAATAAGTGATAATATCCACGGTGGCCAACGGTTTTGGCTAGTAATGTACATACATCCTAGATGAAGCAGTGGCTTTGTCACATAAAGACTCTAGAAGTTAAATATTTTGTTACATGCGTCTTTTTTTTACATTAGTATATTAAATGCGAAATCCGCATGGTATGCAATGTCGGCATTGCCTGAGTGATGTCAGGATTGCACAATGCAATTGGGTTGTGCAATGCTGACATGCCTGGGCAATGCTGACATTGTACAGCAACTTCACCCATGACATATATTTTGAACATTCCATATAAATTGAGATACATTTTTTTATTATATTAAAACTTATCATTAATCACATGATAATACTATATTCTTTAACTAACCTCAGCTAGTTTAAGATATGTATCAGATTTCTGGTTTTTAGTTAGATTCTCATTCTCGTCTGTGACAGGAGGCAAAGCTTTCCACGTTCGTAATTCTATAGGAGTCGAATACTTTACACTTCTAACAACAGTGCCTGATCTTTTCAGCATAAAGCCTTCCTTCAATTGCACATTGTCGATTTTATTGAATTTCTCTCTGTTAAGAGGCGGTGTCGCTGGGCTTTTCGTTACACGTTCCTTATATACATAAATTAATAGCAGTCGCAATATAGACCTAGGAAGTATAAATGTTGGTCAACAAGGAGACTCAATGAATTTTGTCGTCTGCATTATACTGGATTAGCACACATTAAAGGCTGGTTTATATAAAATATCTAAAAATGTAGAGGTATAATATAATTAATTTTGATAATGAAATAATATTAGTAAATAATGCAAATTCTGTTAAATGATGCGATATATCATTATTGGATACTTAATTTTTTAATATTTATATGTTTTTACATTTAACTTTACTAATTTCATGACAGCTCAATTTTAATATGTAATATAAAGATCTGTTTTTTAGAGTTGAATTAATATACATTCTTGGAACTCAAAGTAAAATATATATGTAATTTGATATTTGGTTGAAGTAAGAAAATAGTTTCAGTCTAGTGTCTAGTACAGAATAAAAAAAAAACAGATCCAGTTCCATCAATGTAAGATTAAGGTCCAGTTGTTCCACTTTTCGGTAAATTTTACCCATTAGGTAAATCTGGCAATATACATGTGATTGGGTAATTTGTTACTTACCTAATGAGTAAAATTTATCAAAAGGTAGAACAGTTAACTGGTCCTACAAGTTTAATTTTGGTTTAACTTGCTCTGTTTATCTCTTTTTAATTCCTAGAATTAGAAAAAGATAAAGAATAAATTGTGAACTGAGATTAAAGTTAATTTTACATTGATGTAACCAGGCTTTGCATATTTCTATTAATTTAGATTAACTTTAATCTTGGTTTAACTTTGTATCTTTTTTTTCAGTTTTACGAATTAGAAAAAAGACAAAGGCCGATATTCTTAGTCAGATCTTATATTCAAGACCATGTTAAGTACAGTTTTAAGAAGTCACAAACCAATCAGAAGGCTGCATTAGCGATTTAAGATATTACTTAAGACAGTTTAAAATAAGAACAGACTATGAATACCAGCCAAAGAGTCAGTAAAACAAGATTTACATTTGTCAGTAGAAATGAACATAATAACTGTAATATAAGTGACTGAATTCGCTATTAGTTTATCGGCAAAATGAAAGAATGGCCCAATACTTACTTAAATAATTGTATAATTACGATTATTAGCCATTTTCCTTTTGGCCCCCATAACTTCTTAGCTGACACCTCGAGAAAGGTCTCAGTGTACTCCACCACAGTTAACCAAATTTTAATCTTCGAGTCGAACTGAGGTATTTTTAAGTGCTGGCGTTTGCTGCTGTACATAAGCAAATCGTTGCAGAGCACTATCAGATTTGGCATGGAATAAATCAATTCCACGGCCAAGGTCGAATTGCGCAATTGTCCTGCAAAGAACATACATTTTAGTGCTTAGTGACGTATACGTGGTGGAACGCGTAACAAGAAAGTTCGACGACTCGTTTTCTAACCAAAACTAAAATACGATAAACATCTGACAGTAGCCTCGATATCTGTCAATAATTGCGGATTCGCTACGACCCAATTCTTGTACGATGTCAACAGGTTGTTTAACGTAAAATTAACACGGTTCGCCATCTCGTTGTTACGTTATTTTAGATTTTTTTACAGCGAAAAATAGACATTAAATGTTTAATTCTGCTTATCTCATTATAAGAAAGTAAATTATTGCGTTGAACACTAGGGTTGTGCCATGTTTGATTCTGAAGGTCGAACTCAATTTCGATTTTAAATTCGATTTTCTTCGTCCAATGTGAATCGCTGGTTTTGAGCGCAATCGATCTCTATTTTATAAACTTTCTTAAAGGCTTATCCATAAATAACTGCGTTTAGCGGACTTTACAGTTGAGTGAGCGCTCGCTGTTATTGGTGTATTCTTTTGGATCATCCAATCAGTATTTTAGATCTGGAAGAATACATCAATAGCAGCGAGCGCTCACTCAACTGGTGAGTTCGCTGAACGCAGCCATTTAGAGAAACTAACCAATGAAATATTCAGCGTAAAGAATTGCCAAAAGATCAAAAGGAAGGACTAAGGTCCGTTTCCACCAACGCAGATCAACTTTAATCTCGGTTCAACTTACTCTTTGTCTTTTTCTAGTTCTAAAGATTAGAAAAAGACGAAGAGTAAGTTGAACCGAGATTAAAGTTAATCTACATTGGTGGAAATGGGCATAAAAGCGTCTTACATTGGTCGCGTTCAGCAGACTCAACTGTTGCGGAGCGGATCCATGAGCGTTCGCTGCTATTGGATGATCTAGAAGAATACACCAATAGCAGCGAGTGCTCACGGATCTGCTTCACAACAATTGAGTCTGCTAAACGCGACCATTCTCTCTTCACCCGAAAAGAAATTTAAAAAACACTCGTTAATTTGAAATTTGTCAAATCTCATTGAGGTGTGACAATTATATATTCATCTGTAGGATGAAATGAATACATATTTGGACATTGGAGAGAGAGAGAGAGAGAGAGAGAGAGAGAGAGAGAGAGAGAGAGAGAGA